ATACGCAATGCAGGAAAGTGATACATGGGAGGATGGGAATGGGTGCTATAAAGTCTGAGGTGTCTGTAGCTATACAGGTGATGACGTCCACTTGGCAACTGGACGAGAGTCAGGAATCGGGCAGAAGGTCAAGGCAGGAGAGAAAGACGGGAACTGCCAGCATTTATATATCAGAAGACGCTGTGATGTATAATGTCACACAGAAGTATGCAGAGTACAAAAAAGAGCAGTGACATAGCCCTAAGAATCCCCAATAGTTAAATGGAGAGATGCTTATCAGCCTGGAGCAGGCAGAGGTAATGACCTGAGGGTGGGGTTTAGCAGCACAGAGATGAAGAGAATTAGAATGTGAGGAATTGAGGTGTGGCAAATGTTTAGTATAAATTATGTACCACAGGTTCCAGGTTGGATAGGGAAGAAAGTATAGAAGGATGAATCAGTGTAGGGTTGCCAGAATTATCAGGAAAAAAAGGAACATTCAGTTAAATTGGAATTTCAGATAAAGAATACCTTCCTTTTCAGTATAAATATGGCCCAAATGTTATATGGCTCATGTTCACACAAAATATTTTTTCATTGTTAATCTGAAATTCACACTTAACTGGGTGTCCTGTATCTTATCTGGCAACCATAATTAGGTGGGGGGAAAAAGACCTGGAGTCTGGGAGCTATCTTGAGGTCAAAGGGCAAGGACATGGTGTCCAGGAGTGAGAAAGCTGAAGATTCAAACACTGTATTTTAGGATTTCAGAGATGGAAGGGTAATGAAAAAGATCAAGAAGGATCCATTGGAGTTTGTGGATGAAACTGAATGGAAATGCAGGTCCAAGAACACTGAGGCCAAAATATTGGATGGCCATTACATTTAACTGATGTCAGTTAAAATGATGGCTGGAGGGTAGATGAGATAAACATAAGCCAACTATCAAAGAAAGGAATCTAGTCTTTTAATATTTTAAAAAATTTTTAATTGATTTTAGAGAGAGAGAAAGGGGGGGGGAGAAATATCAATGAGAGAAACATTGATCAGCTCCCTCCTGCATGCCCCCCACTAGGGATCAAGCCTGCAACCTGAGTATGTGCCCTGACTGGGAATCAAGCTAGCGACTTCTTAGTTCATGGGTTGATGTTCAATCAACTGAGTCATACCAGCCGGCCTGGAGGAATCTAGTCTTGATAGGGAAGAGACGGTAGGCTTCTCTAAGGAAGTGAGCCTTGGCTTGCATCGATATCCAAAGGATGTGAGGTCTCACAAGCACCTCATGTTCATCAGGACATGTCAAAGAGTATCCCAAACTTGTCATTCTTCCTGTGTTTCCTTGCTCAGTAAATGGTATAACTGTCCATCAAGTCATGCAAGTTAGAAATATAGGAGTTATTCATGATATCTGCTTCTGTTATGACCATTACATAATTGCTTGTTATCTAAACCATTATAAAAGCAGTAGGTAAAGAAAAAAGCATTCCAGGCAGAGGGAAAAATATATACAATAGTTCTATGTTAAAAGATAGCGTGGCCCTGACCCGTTTGGCTCAGTGGATAAAGCGTCGGCCTACAGACTGAGGAGTCCCGGGTTCGATTCTGGTCAAGGGCATGTACCTTGGTTGTGGGCACATCCCCAGTAGGGGGTGTGCAGGATGCAGCTGATCAATCTTTCTCTCTCATTGATGTTTCTAACTCTCTATCCCTCTCCCTTCCTCTCTGTAAAAAAAATCAATAAAAATGTATTTTAAAAAAAAGAAAAAAAAAAGATAGCATGGTGCAATCTGCTAATTAAAGACCTTTTCCCTCTTTCTTTCCTCTAATTTTTCTTTCTCTTTTTTCATTCTCTTATTATCATTTTGCTTTTTTATTTTTATTTTTTCATTTTAAAGACCCTTTCTTTTTTTTTCTTTTTTAAAAATATATATCTTTATTGATTTCAGAGAGGAAGGGAGAGGGAGAGAGAGATAGAAACATCAGTGATGAGAATCATTGATTGGCTGCCTCCTGCACGCCCCAAACTGGGGATCGAGCCAGCAACCCAGGCATGTGCCCTTGGCCAGAATCGAACCCGGGACCCTTCAGTCCGCAGGCCGACGCTCTTCTCACTGAGCCAAACCGGCTAGGGCTAAAGACCCTTTCTTTTGACATGGAAGAGGAAGGGGCTAGATCATGATGGGTCTTATAGTCATATTAAGAATTTTGTCCTTTAACCTAAGAGTAATGAAAACCATTGACAGGATTGAAGCAGGGAAAAGTGATATGAACAGATTTAGGTTTTGAAAAGGGCATTCTGGCCCTAGCTGGTTTGACTCAATGGATAGAGCTTCGGCTTATGGACTAAAGGGTCCCAGGTTCAATTCCAGTCAAGGGCACATGCCCGGGTTGCGGACTTGATCCCCAATAGGATCAGAAGGCAGCCGATCACTGATTCTCTCTCATCATGGATGTTTCTCTCTCTCTCTCTTTCTCTCTCTCTCTTTCTCTCTCGCTCTTCCTCTCTGAAATCAATAAAAATGTTAAAAAAAAAAAGAGCATTCTGGGTAGAATAGAGAACAGATTTGAGAAAATTAGAATACCTATAATGAGACCAGAAAAGGCTAGTATAGTCTTTCAGGTGAGAGGAGGTAGTACTTGGAATAGGGTGGCAACAGTAGACATGAAGAGAAGTGGGTGGTTTTAATGCTAGCAGAGATGAAGCCAGTAGGAATTGGTGATGGTGGGAATTATCTCCTAGTTCAGTGTTGTTAGTAATGATCTAGTTCAGTGATGGCGAACCTTTTGAGCTCGGCATGTCAGCATTTTGAAAAACCCTAACTTAACTCTGGTGCCGTGTCACATATAGAAATTTTTTGATATTTGCAACCATAGTAAAACAAAGACTTATATTTTTGATATTTATTTTATATATTTAAATGCCATTTAACAAAGAAAAATCAACCAAAAAAATGAGTGTCACGTAAGACACTGGTGACACGCGTGTCGTAGGTTCGCCATCACTGATCTAGTTGAAAGGGAATGGCTGAATACATGGGAGAGAAGAGATAACTGGGTATGTTTTATAATAGTGCTGCTGTTAGACCTGGGTAAGGACCCTCTTTCTACTGCAAAGGGCAAGGTGTCTATGAAATCAAGAAGTCATGCTTGCCAGAAGCCTGCACTCCTCTTTTTTATAATATATTTTCATTGATTTCAGAGAAGGAAGAGCGAGGGAGAGATAGAAACATAAATGATGAGAATCACTGATCAGCTGGTTGCCTCCTGCACACCCCCTACTGGGGATCAAGCCCACATCCCGGGCTTGTGGCATGTGCCCTTGACCGGAATTGAATCCAGGACCCTTCAGTCCACAGGCCGACACTGAACCAAACCAGCTGGGGCGCCTGCACTCCTCTTTAGACTGACTAGATCTGAGGGCAGACCTAGTTCTTGATTACACATCACTATTTGCAGGGGTTGAGGAGTGTGGACATAAGCTTGGACACGTTGATTGCATTAATTTATGGCCCCTTTTGGTGTGGCAGGTGAAGAAGCTAGGAATGGGAAGAGAATAGGTTCAGTCCATCTCTCCAAGTCTGAAAATTTGACCTTCAGGATTATTATTTAAGCAGATTTGTCAAGGTAGCAAAGTAGAATCCTATCTAATAATAGACAAACATTGCCAAAACCGGTTTGGCTCAGTGGATAGAGCGTCGGCCTGCGGACTGAAAGGTCCCGGGTTCGATTCCGGTCAAGGGCATGTACCTTGGTTGCGGGCACATCCCCAGTGGGGAGTGTGCAGGAGGCAGCTGATCGATGTTTCTCTCTCATCGATGTTTCTAGCTCTCTATCTCTCTCCCTTCCTCTCTGTAAAAAATCAATAAAATATATTTAAAAAATAAATAAAGTTATAATAATAGACAAACATGGTAATTGACCATACCTTCGCTATGCCTCCCATATGCAATATGCAAATTAACTGCCAACAAAGATGGCAGCTAATTTGCATACTGTAGGCAGGGTGGGGCAGTGCCATCACCCCCATCTGGGCCTGCTATCTGCGACCCAGGGCGGCGGGTGTCCGTGTGCGCCCCGACCTGGGGCAGCCGGGCAGTGCAGCAGCGATCGGCCAGCCCGCCCAGCCTCCATCGGGCATCCTGTGTGTGACCCGACCTGGGGCAGTGCTCCAACCCCCCGGATCGGCCCTGCCGTGTGTGCCACCCAGGGTGGCGGGGCAGGCACCGAGGGATTGGGCGTGCCATCTGCTACCCGGGGAGCCCTAAGCCAGCAGGTGGTTATCTCCCGAGGGGTCCCAGACTGTGAGAGGGCACAAGTGGGGCTGAGGGACACCCCCCTTCACCCGCCAGTGCACAAATTTTTGTGCACCGGGCCTCTAGTATATTTTATAAAAATAGCTTCTCAGCTTGATTTATAACTTAAATATTTGGACATATGGTATGTGAGCCGCCATAGCCATTCCTGCCCAGGCTCTGCAAATTTAAAACAGTATAGAGGCCGAAACCGGTTTGGCTCAGTGGATAGAGCGTTGGCTTGCGGACTGAAAGGTCCCAGGTTCGATTCCGGTCAAGGGCATGTACCTTGGTTGCGGGCACATCCCCAGTGGGGGGTGTGCAGGAGGCAGCTGGTCGATGTTTCTCTCTCATCGATGTTTCTAACTCTCTATCTCTCTCCCTTCCTCTCTGTAAAAAATCAATAAAATATATTTAAAAAAAAACAAAAAAAACAGTATAGAGCAAGGAGTAACACATTCACACAGATGAAGAGGTCACTTTAACTGAAACCTTATATAGTCAGATTTCCAGAGGTCTGTGAGGGAGATGAGGGAATAAATGGTACAAGTCTACAAGCACTATATTAATGGATATAAGGGACACTCTTCTACATCTGGAGGGTCAACATTAGGAAGCTATTTTAATTGCAATGGTTTCAAGTGTGATTTTAAAAAGTTTCTTGAATACGGAAGGCAGAAGCATCAAGTTCAAAGGGACCTTAGTGATCATGCAATCACATTTATTCACTTTTTATAAAACAGGGGTTCTGGCCGATGAAGCAGCCTGACTGCAGGCACAAAGCTAGTGAGTGGTAGGTGGTTTCCAGCTCTGCCCTCTGCCCACGCTTCCACCGGTGCTACTTTCCATGAAGACATCTGCTGCCAGGCAATCCCAGCTACAGCTTTCACTGTTATGTATTAATGCAAGTAAATCCTTTCATTTCAAAATTTGGAGGCACCTAAAAAAACAAATTCTATAAACCAGTATTAAATTTTGGCTCCAAAATATTCTAAAAAAAAAAGAAAAAAGAAAAAAAAAAAAAAAGGCGGGGGGCTCAAAAATCCAACTTCATTAAGTCACAAGGAAGTACTGGCAATCCTGGACAGTGACTTTTAACTGTTTTCCAGAAATCTGTAGGCAATGTAGGTCTCCCTTCTTAGGACTAAAAATAGCCTTCGCCTGGTCATTTTCTGATTTGACTATTTTGTTTTTTACAGTCTATTCCTTTGACTTCTGGTCTCATGTGTCGAGACCGTGGCGCTCAACGAAAATCGTGCTCCTGGTTTTGGTTGCAACCGTACTGCTGCAAACCCATCCCCCCAAACTCCTTACCTTCTAAGCCAGAAGCCAAAGCACACACTTGGGGACACCCAGGGTGCCGACTAAACGCTAAAATACAACGGAAAAAAACCTTGCTTCCCAAACATCTCTAAATACTGCCAACGGGTTTTTCTTGGCGAGTCTGTGTTAAAATAATGATGCTAAAATTAAAATCTTCAAGGGTGCAATCACAAGTGACAGGAACGTTTTTCCACGGAGCCTCTTACCTTCCAGCTCAGAAGCAATCCGCAAGTTCCAGGCTCGCAGGAAGCGACTTCCCTCAAACTCTGAAGAGCGGACGATTTTAACAACAGTAACACCTTTTCAAGACACCCAGTGGCTTTTAGCCCCTCCCATCAATCGACTACGGCCAACACGGAGGAGCGACTTCATCCCCGGAAAAAAATGCTCTCCTTTGAGCGGGGCATCTGCGAAATCCAGCTTTCTGGGCGCGAAGAGGCGGGGAGGGACCCCGAGGACCCGAGGGAAATAGGAAGAGAAAGTGCTGTGACCGAGTCGTCGAGGTGGAGACCGGCGCGACCAGGGCCGGGCTCTCTGTGGGCTCCGGAGCGGCGGCTCTTCCCGGACACTCGCGCCGGCCACAGGGCAGGAAGCCCCCGCGCAGCTCCCGGGCCTGGAGACGCGTCCCGCGGAGCGGTGACCTCCAGAGCGGGTCCCCTTGGCGATCCCGCCTCCTCGGGTCGAGATTCGCGCCTTTCACAGGCTGTCAGAGGGATCCCTCAGGGAGGCTCGCCCAATGGCGGGCCAGGCCGGTGGCCGGAGGCTCCGCCCCCCCGCCCCTCGCGGAGGGCCGCCCCGCCTCTGCCCCGCGCCCGGAGCCGAGGAGAGTAAATACAACAGGAGCGCAAAATGGCGGAACCGCCGAGCTCAGCGCACGGCGCTGCCGCCGCCGCCGCCGCCGCCCCCGTCTCGGGGAAAGAACCGTTTGGCAAGCTGCAGACCGCCTCCCGGGACCCACCGGGTCCTCTGTCCGCCAAGAAGGTCCGCACCGAGGAGAAGAAGGCGCCGCGGAGACTGAACGGAGAAGGGGGCAGCGGCGGGAACAGCAGGCAGCTGCCGCCGCCGGTGGCTCCTTCGCCTCCGAGCTACGGCAGCCCCGCGTCTTGGAGCTTCGCCGCGCTGTCTGCCGCCCCCTCCCCGTCCTCTGCTCGGAACAGTTTCTCTTTCTCCGCCGGCACGGCCGTCCCGTCCGCAGCCTGGGCTTCCTCGTCTCCGCCGCTGTCGCGCAAACTGCTGGTCCCTCCTACGTTGCTGCACGCTCAGCCCCAGCACCAGCCGCAGCCTCTCCCGCCGGCCGCCGCCCCCGCGGCCAACGCCAAGCCGCGCCGGACCAAGGAGAAGCGGGAGAAGGAGAGGAGGAGGCACGGCCTCGGCGGGGCGGGCGAGGCCCGCGGGTCCGCCCGGGAGGAGAACGGGGAGGTGAAGGTGCAGCCGCGAGGTGGGTGCCGGCGCCGGCCGCGGACCTGGGAGGGCTGCTCCCCGGCCCCCGCCACCCGTGGCGCTCGCCGCGTCCGGGCTGCAGGCGCGCGGGGGGCCGCGTGCGCCAGCCGGGAGGGGGCGGGAGGCGCGCGGCGGACGAGGTTGCAGCCCTCGTGGGGACAGGAAATGGAGCCTGTAATTTCGGTCCCAGCGAGGGGCCTGGCCGAAACTCGTGTTTTCTCTGTCGCGGGCTGCCTCTCCGCGAATGCGCTGAGGGTTTGTTTGCACCATCGGGTCTGGGAGACCCGCCTCGGAGCGTGGGGCTCCGGACGGAGAGGAGACGGAGCGGGATCCTCCAGGGTCTGTTCCTGCAAAAAAAAAGCGCTCGGTTGGTTCTTAGACCGTCTAGGCTGGATCCTGGAATTCATGTTTGTGACCAGAAAATCCTGTCCAAAAAAAGGGGGTGTGGAGAGCCGCGGCGTCAGCTGGGAGCCACCAGAGGCCTGAGCTTTTCCTCCCTATTAGGGGAATGAGGTAGCGTGCGGGCCCGGAGCGTGCTGCTGTTTCGTAAGGGACCCTCCTCCCTCCCCGCTTCTTTCCGCCCCACAGGCCTGAGCGCTGTGAGTGTTGCTGTTTGAAACACCATCCTGCAGAAAGCGTTTACAGCCATTTTTCTTCTCCTTTCTGCAGCAGAGGATACGCTCAGGCGTGTTAAGGTGTTGGGGGCCAGAGCAAGTGGCTGCAAAGTGTTTTCGCATCAGAAAAAGGCCGATTCTTGTAGACGTCCTTCTCGGACAGTCTTAAAATGTAGCTGGCCATGTACTTTTCAGAAAGCATTTCTTCAAAATAGATGGTTCTACCGACTCAGCTAGTGGTACACAAGGATCTGGCAGGGCTACAGCATAGAGACCGGTTGAAAACGAGATCTTGATGCGATCAGAAGCTTCAAGCACATCATGGCCTTTAATATAAATATACATCAATACAGAATACTGTCAAAGTATGTTTGTTTGTTTTGAAGGGAAAAAAATGAAATGTCAAAAAGAGTCTTAGCGCTGCTGATCTAATGGTAGCTTCACATCATGAAAAATTCTCCGTATGTTTGAATGGAATGGCTACTTTCACGGATTGTAAAAATGCTGTGAATGAGTATGTAGCAACAGTTACTTCTTTCTTGGTGTTTTTGCCTGTAATAAAGCTCTGACATCTAAGCATAGCCATCTGGTACTCCTGCACAAGGGAAAGATCTCTCAGCTTCGGAGAATGTTGCTTCTCAGAAAGTGTTTTTTATACTAGTTTTCGTCTGGAATTTTAGTTGGTTAGTATTTTAAAGTTATTTTGTTTTTTTTTATTGGTTACATTTAAAAGTTTTAAGTGCCTGGAAGTCTGTGCATTGCGATGTATAAACTGTTTGCTTTTCTAAAGTTCTTTGAATGAGGAAGTGAATCTGAGTATACCGTTGTCAGTGTATTGGAATGGCTGAAAATAAGCATTCTTCAACAATTCTGACTTTAAAATGGCCCTTAAAGTGAAATGACTGTTAAAAGAAAAAATTGTCTAGCCTTTTAAATTATACTTAAAATCCTCCATTTGAAGGCTACAGCTTATCTAATTAAGTCTGAATATAAGCAATGATAACTTTACATTAAGATGTGGGGAAGATGTTTTTCCATGACCTATTTAGGTTTTTTTGATTAGTGACTACATACATATTAACACTTGTAAGATTTTCTTTCTTTTTTTTAAAAAATATGTTTTATTGATTTTTTTCAGAGACGAAAGGAGAGAGATAGAGAGTTAGAAACATCGATGAGAGAGAGAAACATCAATCAGCTGCCTCCTGCACATCTCCTATTGGGGATATGCCCACAACCAAGGTACATGCCCTTGACCGGAATCGAACCTGGGACCTTTCAGTCCGCAGGCTGACGCTCTATCCACTGAGCCAAACTGGTTTCGGCAGGATTTTCATTTTTTAAGAAATATATTTTTATTGATTGTAGAGAGGAAGGGAGAAGGAGAGAGAGAGAGAAACATCAATGATCAGCTGCTTCTTGCACGCCCCACGCTGGGGATTGAACCCACAACCCAGGCATGTGTCTTGACCCGGAATTGAACTGTGATGCTCAACCAGGCAAATTTTCTGTCTTTCTGTCTTTTTCTTCCTTCCTTCCTTCCTTCCTTCCTTCCTTCCTTCCTTCCTTCCTTCCTTCCTTCCTTCCTTCCTTCCTTCCTTCCTTCCTTCCTTCCTTCCTTCTTGATGGTAAATTTAATGGTGAAAATATTTCCCTCTTAATTTGGGAAGTGCTTATATCCTTCTAAAACTCTGATACACTGAATTAAGGTTTTGTTTTAATCAATTAAGAAGATTCTTGCCGAAACCGGTTTGGCTCAGTGGATAGAGCGTCGGCCTGCGGACTGCGGGGTCCCAGGTTCGATTCCGGTCAAGGGCATGTACCTGGGTTGCGGGCACATCCCCAGTGGGAGATGTGCAGGAGGCAGCTGATCGATGTTTCTCTCCCATCGATGTTTCTAACTCTCTGTCTCTCTCCCTTCCTCTCTGTAAAAAATCAATAAAATATATTAAAAAAAAAAGAAAGAAAAAAAAGAGAAGATTCTTAAGCAACAGTATTATTGAAATGGCAAGATTATATACATGCATTCAATCCTATATAATAAAACCCTAATATTCAAACTGACCGAACAGTGAAACGACAGGTTGCTACGATGCACACTACCAGGGGGCAGACGCTCAACACAGGAGCTGCCCCCTGGTGGTCAGTGAGCTCCCACAGGGGAAGCGCCACTTAGCCAGAAGCTGGGTTCATGGCTGGTGAGCGCAGTGGCTGTGGTAGCAGCACTAACTACCCCTTGGGGGGTGTCTGCTTGCCTGCTTAGGCCTGCTCCTAGACTGCGAGAGGGTGCAGGCGGGGCTGAGCCCCCCCACCCTCCAGTTCACGAATGTCGTGCACTGGACCTCTAGTATAGTTATAATTGCAAATATAAAAGTTCTAATATGTAATACAGTTCTTTTTTCTCTGGGCTTTTTGTAAAAATCTTAGTGAATAGGTAACCAGGTGTTTTGTTTTAGGTATATATTTTTAGTGTTATTCCTATTTTTAGTGTTATTCTAACTTGGATAGTTCACCTGGATAGCACATAGGATAGTTTAGTGAGCCCTCTCAGTTATCCCATAGCTCATTGATTGAACAATCTGAATCGGAACCGTAAGTTAGGTATTAAGACACTGAAACAAGGACTAGATCTTTCAAAAACAAAAATCCAAAAGATTTAGCCTCTCAATTTCGTTAAGCAATTAAGCTCCTTTATTTGTATTAGAGTTGTTGTTTTTTGCAAGTCTTTAGTAGGAACTGCTAGTTTTTTTACATTGCCTATCATTCTAACAAGTTATTTGAGTCAGAAGCATGATAATTTGTTTTTGTTAACCTCATAACAAATTAAAAGGTGGGTGAATTCAGATACAGAAAGGATCATTGACAGTAGATTTGAGAGTTAAGGCTGATAAACAAGAGAATTATAAAAGCATACCAGTCTAGGCCCACTTAGCATATGGATTTATGCTTTACACACCCAAAGCCTCTGTCATAGTACTGCAGCTATCTTGCATGATAGCCTGAGTTATCAAGTAAAAGTTAAGTTTGTTATAAAAAATGTGCAGCCCTAGCCAGTTTGGCTCAGTGGATAGAGCATCGGCCTGGGGACTCAAGGGTCCTGGGTTCGATTCCGGTCAAGGGCATGTACCTTGGTTGCAGGCACATACCCAGTAGGGAGTGTGCAGGAGGCAGCTGATCGATGTTTCTCTCTCATTGATGTTTCTAACTCTCTGTCCCTCTCCCTTCCTCTCTGTAAAAAATCAATAAAATATATTTTAAAAAATGCAGAACATTTTAGATTTTTAAAACAAAATAACCAGGCTTTGGTGCTTACAGAGGTTACCTGCTGAAGAATTCACAGCCCATGTAAGACTAACTTAGTGCATCAGTAAATATGGAAGTAAAAGTGGGACATGTACTAAAGGTATCCAACATTCAGAGTTATAGTATAACAAACAACAGAACAAACATATTAGATAACAAATGCCTTATCTGATTCCAGTAACCAATAAAACTTGTATAGATCAGTGCTCGCTTCGGCAGCACATATACTAAAATTGAAACAACACAGAGAAGATTAGCATGGCCCCTGTACAAGGATGATAAGCAAATTCGTGAAACATTCTAATTGTTTTTTTGTGGGGGGGACTTACATAGATCATCTAATTTTTGTTAGCTTTTGCTTTGCATTTATTAGCTTTTTTTTTTTCTTAGAATGACCATGTGATATATCCCAAGACAGAACCAGAACATCTTAACTGAATTTTTTACTTGAAAGTGAAGTTATAGAATTTGACTGTAATGAAAATAGAGGCTTTTCTTAGAATGGAATGATTGGAGGTATGTAAATGCCAGTGATTTTAAAGTTTAGCATAGATGTTCAAAGGTTTTTAAAAACTAGATTATTCCCCATCTTTCTAATATTGTTATTCCACAATTTTAGGGTAAATTCATATTCAGAGTTTTTATCATTATGACCAAATAAATACCTGTTACTCCTGAGATAGTTTATTATAATTTTATTTTTTTGTGTAACCTTTTGTTTTTAATGCCTAATTTTTTTATTTGCTTAGTTTTGTCTAGAAAAGTCTTTCTGTACCCTCCAGCAGCTTCATAAAATGTTTCTCAGTGCAATTTTCCACATGGTCAGGTCTGTCAGATATACGTACCAGTTACATTTGTTCCTGTAGTTATCCATCCTTTTTGTAGCTGTCCTTCCAGCTTTGGTCTGGATTGTTTCTTTTTAGGCCTGCTGCAGAGTTGTCATCTTGGGACTTCTCTTAGCTGACATTCTGGGAATTTCTTTCACTTTAGTTGAGTCCTTTTTTTCTTGATCCCAGGCCTGCCTTTTGGTTTATTCCTTCATTTTATTTTATTTTTCAAATACATTTCTTTATTGATTTCAGAGATGGGGAGAGAGAAACATCAATGATGAGAGAGAATCATCGATCAGCTGCCTCCTGCACGCCCCCCATTGGGGATCGAGTCCACAACCCAGACATGTGCCCTTGGTTGGAATTGAACTCGTGACCTCCTGGTTCACGGGTTGATGCTCAGCCACTGAACCACATGGGCCAGGCTCTGCAGCTTCTTTTTCTAAATTTAATTTTTAAATTACATTTAGTGTACACTATTATATTGGTTTCAGGCGTACACCCCCTTGATTAGACATTTATATAACTTAAAGGGTAATTCTGATAAATGCAGTGCCCATCTGATACCATATATAGTTATTACAATATTATTGACTATATTCCCCATGCTGGACTTTATATCCCTGTGACTGTTCGATAACTACCAATTTGTATTTCTAGTTCCTTTACCTTTTTCACCCATCTCCCCAACCCCTCTCCCATCTGGCCACCATCAAAATGTTCTCTGTATGTGTGAGTTTGTTTCTGTTCTGCTTGTTTGTTTATTTTGTTTTTTAGATTCCACATATAAGTGAAATCATCTGGCATTTATCTTTCTCTGATTTATTTCACTTAGCATGATTCTCTCTAGGTCAGTGATTTTCAATCTTTTTCATCTTATGGCACACACAAATTAATTACTAAAATTCTGCGACACATCAAAAAATATATTTTTTGCCGATCTGACAAAAAATAGGTATAATATTGATTCATTCACACAGGACTGGTATTGTTGTATTGGCTGTTGTCATTTTTTAATTTGGCAGTCTAAGGGAAAAGAGACCTGTGCCCTGACTAAATAGTCAGGTTTTGCATGTTTTAAAAATTCTTTCTTTCCCTGCACACCAATGTCCCACTGCACACTGGTTGTAGATAACTCTAGGTCCATTCATTTGTTGCAGATTTTTTTCTTTTTTATGGCTGAATCATATTCTATTGTATATGTGCACCACGTCTTCTTTATCCATTTATCTGTTGATGGACACTTAGGGTTCCTTCCATACCTTGGCTATTGTAAACAACCTATACTAATAAAAGGGTAATATCCTAATTAGACTGGATGTCTTCCAGACGTCATTCTGGATGTCCTTCCTGACAAAGCCAGGGCCTGGGTGGCATCGCTCGGGTGCCTATGGCCGGCCCGGGCAGTGCCACCCACGGTCCCGGGAGCCTGCCCGGGCAGTGCCACCCACGGTCCCGGGAGCCTGCCCGGGCAAGGCCTTCTGGGGTCCCGGGTGCCTGCGGCTGGCCTGGGTGAAGCCAGCCCAGGTCCTGGGTGCTTGCGTCCAGCCAGAGGGAGGAAAGCCCGGGTCCTGGTTGCCTGTGGCCAGCTGGAGGAGGGAAGCCTGGGTCCTGGGTGCGGGAGCTGAGGCAGAAGCAGTTAGGGGTGATCAGCCAGACAGGCAGAGGCGATTAGGGGCGATCAGGCAGGCAGGCAAGTGATTAGGGGCGATCAAGCAGGCAGGCAGGCGAGCAGTTAGGAGCCAGCGGTCCCGGATTGTGAGAGGTGCAGGCCAGGCTGATGGACCCCCCCTCCCATGCACGAATTTCGTGCACAGGGCTTCTAGTGTTCCAGTAAACATCTTTCCGATTTAGTGTTTTGGGTTTCTTCGGATAAATACCCACAAGTGGAGTTGCTGGGTCCTTCTTTGCCTCTTCTTATACTCTTTGTTTTAAAGTCTATTTTTATCTAATATAAGTATTGCTACCCCAGCTTTATTTTGTTTTGTTCCCATTTACATGAAATATGTTTTCTATCCCTTTAGTTTCAGTTTATTTGTATCTTTTGCTCTGAGGTGAGTCTCTTGTAAATTGCATATATAAGGGTCTTATCAATTCAATTACCCGATGTCTTTTGTTCCTATTGTTGACACTATTACAGATATCTCCCGTTTTCCCTCACCTGATGTCTTATTTTTTAAAGAATAATTTATTGATTTTTAGATAGATATAGGAAGGGGGGGGAGAGAAACATTAATGTGAGAGTGAAACATTAATCTGCTGCCTCCTGTTTGCCCACCAAGTGGGGATTGAGCCCGCAATCTGGGCATGTGCCCTGACCGGGAATCTAACCGGCAGCCCTTTGGTGCATAGGAAGGCGCCCAACCAACTGAACCACCCTAGCCAGGGCACCCCCACCTTATGTCTTTTGATTGAAGCATTTAATCCATCTGCATTTAAAGTAATTGTTGACAGATATGTATTTAATGCCATTTTATTATTCATATTTTTTATCTTTTTCTTTTCTTTTTCTTAAAGAAGACCCTTTAATATTTTAATACTGGTTTGGTGATCATGAACTAACTCCTTTAGCAATTTTTTTTTTTTTTTTTTTTGGTCTGGGAAGCTCTTTGTCTTTTGATTCTAAATGATAGCTTTGCTGCATAAAGTAATTTTGGTTGTAGGTCCTTGCTTTCATCACTTTGAATATGTTGTGCCAATCCCATATAGGCGTTCTTTTTTAGGTAACTAACTGCTTTTCTCTTGCTGCTTTTAAGATTCTCTCTGTCTTTAACCTTTAGCATTTTAATTTTGATGTGACTCGGTGTGGGCCTCTTTGGGTTCATCTTGTTTGGGACTCTGCACGTCCTGGACTTGTATGTTTATTTCCTTCACCAGGGAACTTTTCTGTGATTGTTTTTTTCAAATAGTCTTTCAGTTTCTTGCTGTCTTCTCCTTCCAGCACCCCCATGAAGCAAACGTTGGTATGGTTGAAGTTTTCCTAAAGGCTCCTTACATTATCCTCTTTTTTTTTTCTTTTTTTTTACTGTTATGATTTTTTTTTTTCCTGCTTCCTTAGCTTTCAAATTGCTGACTTGATTCTCTGCTTTCTCTATTGTTAATTTTCTGTAATTTATTCATTTCAGTTAGTATATCCTTCATTTCTGACTGGATGTTTGTTATGATTTCCATGTCTTTTTCTGTGCTGTTGAAGTTCTCACTCACTTCCTTAAGCATCCTTATAATCATTGCTTTGAACTCTGTATCTGGTAGTTTGCTTGACTTGATTTCATGTAGTACTTTTTCTGGAGATTTCTTTTGTTCTTTCATTGGGAACCTGCTTCTTTGTCTCTTCATTTTGGCTGCTTCCCTGTGTTGGTTTCTATGTATTAGGTATAGCTGATGTCTCCTGTACTTGGTAGAGTGGCCTTGTTTATTAGTTGTACTGTAGGGCCCAATGGTGCAGCCTCCCTGGTTACCCGAGCTGGGTGCTCCAGCTGCATTCCGTGTGGGTGGTGTGTACTATAATATTGTAGTTGAGCCTTAATTGTTGGCATGTCACTGGGAGGAATTGGCAACCCATCAGCCACGAGGACCAGCTGTGATTACAGTGCAAGAGCTGCTAGGGTCTGAATCCATGGAGCAGGACTTGCTTCATTGAGGCTCTGGTACCCACTGAGTCCACCTCTTGAATGTCTCACTTGTAGATGTGGCTCGGTTGTAATCCAGTGTGGTCTGAAGCTGTCCACTGGGTGCACTGGCTCTGGAACCTCCTGGGAGGTGCAAGGTCAGTCACCCCCTCTGCTCTGCCTGGGGCCACCTGACATGAGCTGATCTCCAGATGACTGCTACTTGCACTGGACTTAGAGGTTCCCTGGAAGAGGCCAACCTGCAAACTGAGGTTGGCCTCCTCTAGTGCCTAGGCCTGGTGCCACTTAGTAAGAGATATGAGGGATACAAGGGCAGGATGCTGCTTATTTGAGAGATTTTAGCAAAGAAGTATGAGCCAAGAGAGGCTGTTTTTATGGAAAAGCCACTGGAAATGGCTTGTGAGGGCCAGCAAGCTGGGATGGGGCCTGGTCTCTGAGAATCACCAGTGTTAGCAAGGTTAATGAAGACTCAGATATGGCATCTCCTTGCTGGCTCTGTGAGGGGAGGGCTCAGAAAAGGAACAGTGGCTTCTGTCCTTGCCCTGAAGCCATACAATTTAGTTCCTTCGCATATGTCCCTGGCACATTTCCAGCTGCTGTCCCAGTGCTAGAGCTCAGAGCAAGTGAGTTCAAATAAGTCCATGCTCAGGCCCTTTAAGAGTAATGTCTGGGTCTCAAGGAGCTTTGGTCTCACACAGCCATAATCCCCACTGGTTTTCACAGTCAGAAGTTATGGCTACTTTTCTTCCAGCAGTATTCCTCCTGATGTTTAACTGCCACATGTGGGTATGGGACTAACCTGTTCCCAGTCTCATTGTGTCTTCTTTTATAACCTTAGTTATAGGACTTGT